TATGGTATTAAAGAGGGGGGGAGAGGAGTGGCTTTATATGTAAAATGTAAGTTACGTCCTGTTAAAGTTGAGGATATTAAAGATAATAGCAAAGAGATTGAATCAATTTGGGTTTATATTAGTGGATATAAAAGGAAAAGGCTTTTAGTGGGAATTTATTACAGACCACCAAATGATACTGATGAAGTTAGTTAGAAACTTTACAATGAGATTAAGATTTCAACTGTTAATGAAGTCATAATTATGGGTGATTTTTAGTTTCAGGCATATAGATTGGGAAATTCTAGAGTCAAACCATGAGGGAGAAAGGTTTTTTGAAACTGTTCAGGATGGCTTTCTTCACCAATTAGTCAAAGAACCAACTAGAAACAATGCTATTTTAGACTTATTGTTAACTTCAAATACAGAAATTATCAAGAGGGTGGAAATTGGGGAACATCTGGGCATAACTGATCATTGCTCTATTAGGTTTGATGTTTTGCTGCATATGGAGATAAGGAATAGTGATATTTTGGTTACAAATTTCAAAAAAGCAAATTTTGAAGGGATGCGACAAGAATTATCTGTTGTGAATTGAGCAGCTGAGTTATTTGGAGACACTGATCAGATGTGGAAAACTTTTAAAGATAAATATTTAAATATTCAAGGTAAACATATTCCTTATAGAAAGAAAAGGGTAACTGAAAGTAAAAAAACCTGGTTGGCTTACAAAGAGTTTAATAAGAGATAAAATTAATGAAAAGCATCATAAATTTAAGAAATTTGAATTGACTGGTATAACAGAAGACTTAGAAGATTATAGAAGATCAAGAAAATTGGTGAAACAAGAAATTAGGACATCAAAAAGATTGTATCAGAAAAGGTTGGCTGAATATGTAAATATTAACAATAAGGATTTATTTAAATACATGAAGGGTAAACAAAATGTTAGGATGGGGGTAGGACCCTTAAGGGATAATAAAGGAAGGCTAGTATCTGATGATTATGAGATGGCTTGGTTATCAAATTTTGCTTTTTCTTTGGTTTTTACTAATGAAGATTTAAGCAGTATTCCACATCTTTAACAGTTGATAAATGGAAATGAGATCAAACAAGATGACTGCATTATTCTGAGCTGGTCAAGAGAAAGCTGGGAAGTTTAAAAAATATAAGGCACATGCATCAGATAATATTTCTCTGAGGGTTTTGAAAGAGGTTAAAGATTGGATATGTCAGCCACTTACTACTATTTCTTATCAGTTCTTGAATAGTGGGTAGGTACCAGTGGATTGGTTGTTAGCTAATGTATTCCTTTTTTCAGGGAGGTGATAAAAATTGTCCCAGAAATTATAGACCCATTAGTCTTACATCAGTTGTGGGAAACGTTTTGGAAAGTCTATTAAAAGATGCTTTGCAAAGTCATTTAACAAAGTTTAGAATTTTATTGGATAGTCAACATGGTTTCACTAAGGGAAAATCTTGCCTTACAAATCTTTTAACATTCTTTGAAAAGGTTACTGCTTATGTAAATAAGGGTAAGGGTGTAGATTTGGTATATCTGCATTTTCATCAGAAAGCATATGACAAGGGGCCACATAAAAGGCTTGTAAAAAATCAGCTCTATAGGTGTAGAGGATAAGTTAGCAAATTTGATAGAAGACTGGCTGGATGGAAGAAAGCAGATGGATGTTACAAATGGAGTTCAGTTAAACTGGATTAATGTCACAAGTGGGGTACCTCAGGGCTTAGTCTTAGGACCATTGTTCTTTTTTATTTGCATCAATGACATAGATGAAGAAATAGTCAATAAATTGCTTAATTTTGCAGATGATATTAAGGTCTTGGGTGTTGCTACCTGTGAAGAGGATGCTGCTGATTTACAAAAGGATTTAGATCATTTAGTGAGTTGGGCAAATAAATGGCAGATGGGTTTTAATTATAATAAATGCAAGATAATACATGTGGATTATCATAGTTCGAATTATAAGTATAATTTGGATGGGAATAACCTTAATAGTGTTATGAAGGAAATGGATCTTGGTGTAATAGTAAATCACTCACTAAAGTCATCCAAGCAGTGTGCTGTTGCTAGAGGTAGGGCAAATAGGTTTGTAGGTTGTATATACAGAAATAATTGATGCGGGCACAGTTGGCACTCAGTTGTCGTACATTCAGCTAAGGCATCTTGTTGGTTACTGAA